AAAGAAACAGAAAATAGTGGTGGATTCTGAAGTCTGAGGCGAGAAATTCAAGACTATAAAAGGGAGGTAAATGGTCGGTTAAAAAGATGGGATCTGAGAATAGAAGTTGGAATTCTGAGCCACTGGTCAAAGGAAATGCAGGAATATCCCCAGTTCTTTGCCAGGGATGCCTCAAAACTAAGGAGGGCTGTAAAATATGTATTTGCTGTAAGTCTCGCACATAGTATTAACAGAGCTTTAGCATAAAAGTGGAGGTGGAAGGAAAAATCTGCCTATGTAAATATAATAAGAGTGATGTGAGTAATCATGACGTAGGAAAAAGAATGCTAGTAACAGATGATAAAAGAAAGGCAGAACTATCCAACTATTTTTGCTTCTATTTTCTTTACTAAGAACAATGATCCATGGACTGAGACGTATAGAACAAAAATTGCTACCAGGGAATTAAAACCCAAGATAGCAGAGATAGGGGTAGAATATCCAGCAACCAGTTCACCTCAGCAGGTGCAGGCTAAGTACATTCTAAGTAGATGCCATTGCAGAAATACTGACAGTGATCGATGAAAAAACCATGGAAAAAGATAGAGCAGTTGTAGGCCTGGAAATGGGAAAGTGTTGTCTTGATTTTCAGAATGAGAGATAGTTGAGTCTTCAAACATATAGGCAGTTAAGTTTGATTTCTTTCTTTCTTTTTTTCCCCTAGGCAATGGGGTTAAAAGTGCCTTGCCCAGGGTCACACAGCTAGTGTCGAGTGTCTGAGGCTGAATTTTAAGTCAGGTCCTTCTGACTCCAGAGCCAGTGCTCTAGCCACAGTGCCATCTAGCTGCCCCTAAGTTTGATTTCTTGCAAAATTCTGAAGTTATTATTGAAGGGACGGTTTCTGAACAATTAGAAAGGGAAGCAGTGATCACTAAGAGCCAGCTGGATTAATCAAGAACATCTGTCATGTTTGTTGAATTGGATAGCCTCATCGATTTTTTTTTTTGGACTGAATTACCAATTGGTATCAATTGGAAAATCCTGTGGACAGAGTATACCTAGATTTCAGCAAATCATTTTTATTTCTCATGCTAGTTTTGAAGACGAGATAGAGTGATTTTGGTTAGATAAAAACATGGTTGGACAGATTTGGTGCTAATTGAATAACTGGATACAAAGAACAGTCAGTGTGGAGGCAGGTCTCTTAGTACCTCAAGAATCTGTCCTTGGTTCTCTGTTGTTTAGTATGTGTGTGGATTACTAGGATTAGAGCACAGACATCATGCTTACCCAGCTTGCAAATGACACAAGGGTAGGAGGGACAGATAAAACTTTGCATGGGAGAATCAGGATCTCAAAAGACCCTGACAGGCTAGAATGATGATGGGTCAGATGTAATAAGACTAATATGAATAAATGTGAGGTTTGGCGTGAGTCACAGGAATGAGGTAGAGAAAGCTCACCATCTCTTCTTGTGTAGATCCAGGGACTTCAGTGGAATATAAGCTCGAAGTGAGGTGACTGTTACAGGGCAGACAAAAATGTGAACTCAATCTTGGCATCTAAAGAGGCAAAGTACGTGTAAGAAGGGAAGCGGCAGTCCTGGTACATTCTACCTTGGGCCCTGGTTTACAATATTCTGTTTAATACTCAGTGTCACATTGTAGGAAGGATATCAATAGATAGGCTTGGGGACGGGGAGTGAGGAGAGGGAAAATTATGCCGTGCCAAGGACCTGTTGATAGAACATGGAATGTTCAGCCTGGGAGAGACTTAGCACAAGAGCATGATAGTCGTCTTCAGATATGTGAGAGCTTGTTCTGGGAAGTGGGTTCGATTTGTGCTTGTCCTTGGGGCATAGAGCTAAGAGCCTTCAATTAGTGGGTCACTTAAAATGGTTCAGTTCTCTTGACTGAAGTGAGTGGATTCTCCCTGGGATGTATACAGACAGTTACGCCTTCCTGCACCCGGGTGTCGATGGGAGCCTCTGGTGCAGATGGTCAGCTCTTCCTAAAGGTCTTACTTTCTGGAGGTGGGGATGGCCTCTGCGGTCCCTTCCAAATTGGACATGAAGTGACGTGGCTTGTGGCTGACCTTGGAATCTAAAGGCAACATTGACTTCTTAAATTTTTTCAGTGAATTAGCATGGAAGTTTGTGGGAGGGAGTTCTTGGGATAAAGAGGTGGCTGAGCTCTTGTTCACTCCCTCTCTCTGCATGGGTCACTTTCTGATACTTTTGTAATCCATGTCAGAAAGATAGTCCCTTCAGAAAAGTTAAGTATCCTAACAGGATTTAATCAGATGTATTTCTTTGTAGTTAGCCAATGTCCTGAGGGCCAGGGGTGTGAGAGGCTGTGATTCTTCAAGTCTGGGTCTTGCTTAGCTGGGGTCATGTGGTGCCTGTTGTCTCAGATCAGATTGCTCCCAAATGTCCCCCCCTTTTTTTTTTAAATAAATAATGATTTATAAATAATATGTTAATGATGCTTCAGTTTCCAAATCTCCGGGGTTTGTCTAAGGGACAGTAGCCATAAGAGTAGAACACTTACTGTCATATTTTTTTTTTCCCCTTTTACATCCATGATCTCATCTTAGGAAGGGACAGATAAAAACTCCTTCTTTTAGGCTGAGTTGAGCATGATCCATGAAGTTGTAATTTATAGCTATCAGGAAAGACCTCTGTTACTTTTATTCTCTTTTTCATTAGTACTTGGTAGCTCAGGAATGGGGTGGTGGCAGATGGTTGCAGTTAACCAAGTTTAACAGTTTGGGAACATTGAAGGGTAAAGGGTCCAAGGGCAGAGGTAAAAGTACTATTGGTGCTGCTAACCATAGCAATGAGATTAGGGAAAGAGCAAAGGGAGGCTTGGATCTAATTCATTGGCTGGGAAATGGAGGAATTAGGGCCCTGGAAGTTACAGTGAGGATACTGAACAGGTGTGGGTAGAGTGAGGGCTACGGCTGTTCTGAAAGACAGACAATTGTGGATGGGGGAAGTCACATGGTTTCAGATTTTAGAACTAGGAGAGTTTTGAATGATCTCGGTCTAGAGTGTGACCATAATCATGGTTACTGCATTAAAGGGGAAGTAAAAGTTGTGTGGAATTTGAGGGGCTAAAGAGACTGTGAGAACAAGTTGTTGGAAGAGGCATAAACGTGAAGATTACATCTCTAAAATGATGGCCAGAGAAGGGTTCGAGAGGAAGATTAAACCCTAGATACCAACCATAGAAAAGGGGGAGAGTGATGCCCTCTTTACCCCTTCCCCCCTCACCTCTCAGCTCTCAGGGGTCGGTAGATAGAAGCATAATCGAAAGAAGGTGGTGTAAATAGATGGCATGGACATCAGAGTAGACTTTATTAGATTTGATTGCAGAGGTTAGAAGTGGCCCTGGGAATAAGGATTCTGCTGACTCCATCCCTAGTGAGCCAGAGGAGATGAGAGGAGGAAGCACTGCCATCTCTCAGCAGAGAGGAGGTCTTGTTTGGGGAGTAGGAAGGAAGCCCGTGCCACTGGATTGAAGAGCACTTGGGGAGTAAGAAGACTGGGCTGGTTAGAGGGGGAGCAGCTTGGGAAAGGCTTTGAATGCCAAACAGAGGATTTTGTCTTTGATCCTGGAAGTAATAGGGAGGCACTGGAGTTCATTGAATGAGTGGAAATGGGTGATATGGTCAGATCTGTGCTTTAAGAAGATTAATTTGATGACTGAGTTGGAGGATGAACCGGAGAGGGGAGAGATTCGTCGGGCTGACCCATCAGCAGTTGTTGCCGTAGTC